AAAAGGAGTGCTGGGGGGGCACATGTACCTTTTACCTGCAGGATGACGGAAAGCCCAAAGCTCAGCAGTACGAGGCAATGCTGCTGAGCCCCAGAGAAACCAGTTTTCCCAGGAAATACGAGGTGGGGGGTGTGTTGGAGCTGCCAAAGCTGGTAGCAGGAAGGGAGTGAGGTGGCCACAGCTCCATGTCCAGCACACAGTGAGGCTGAGCACATATTCCTGATAAGCACATGAACATGTGTATACACACCCCAAGCAGGTGTGAGCCAGGTAAGGGAAGAGGCCAATAAGAAGTGGATCCAACAAGGTGGGATAAGGCTTTTTATCATGCCAATGTTCTCCCTTACACAACTGGCTCAAGTGTGGAAACTGCCCTCCAGGGGAGGTATTGGGACATTGTCATGGGTGGGAGCAGAAGCTTCAGAAAATGTTTACTGAAGGAGCCCTACCATTGAGTCACAAAGTGCAGAAAGGACCCCCTTGCTTTCCAAACTCCTTTTCAGAGAGAGGAGCCCAGGCACAGCTGGATTCAGTCCTAGTTTAGTGAGAAGGCAAGAGAGACTGCACTGGTCAGGCACAGGGCATGGACAGACTGACACCTGTATTGACCATTCCCCGCTCACATGGGATTGACTGGACCCTTTTATCTCTACATTCACAGAATCATAAAATTCCATTTTTCCCAATACACTTTGATTCATCACTTCTCCCACTTTTGGTTGCTACTCCAAATTTCCATTACAAGTCCTGTACATGCCCAAAATACACTTCCCATAGGTCCTACAGGGTGTTCCCTTGCCCCTTTAAGCAGTAACTCTCTCAGTTTATACAGTTATCCTGAGAGATGCTCCCCAGTCAACCTCTTTGATCATTTTCTAACCTGGACCATGGACTGATTCCTGTGCTGTGAAAACCCTAGAAGAAACCAGGTTAGGGCTCCATTTCTCTGATGAGGATATTTTGGCTCCCCCATTTCTTTGCATTGACAGAGATTGGTCTTTAGGCACATCAGTGGCCCCTCTTCCCTTTCTTCTGTGCTCCAAGACAAGCTCCTAATCATTTGGTGCAACCTGTGAAACTTGCTCTTTTGAAACCAACCCTTATTCTGTAAGACAAGAAAACAAGGTGAATTTATTTGAAGTGGGGTTCATCCACTCACAGTTGAGCCTCTGTGCTTCTTTGTGTTATGTTGCAACGCACCCAGATGAGTGCTTTGTGACATAACCTTGCAGATTCTTTTTCTGTAATTTGAGAGGCACCTCCTTTTGGATGCAGAGAAACTTTTGCTCAACTCAATCTGAATGTCTACTTAGATGCTGCTTTCTACACCCCAGCCACTGCCTGCCTGGAGTGAATCTATGGAACTGTAAATTGGGATCAATTTGTAATTGTTAATAAAAGCATTTTAAGAAAAAACAAATTAAACCAAGAGTAAAAAAAAATACTGCTATCAGATGCTACTCATCCAAGCATTCTAGAACTTGGAGATGAAACCACTGAGCTACTAATATTGAGTACAAACTAATATTAGACCAGTCTCAGTATATACATCCAGGCATTTAGTCAGCTCACAGACCTACATTGCACTAATCAGAAGAACTATGTAGGAGTCTGGAGGATAACTCGGCTAACTGTGGGCAAGATTCAGACTTCTCATGTCATGTTAAGAAGGTCCAGGATGACCAAAACATCTGTGGATAACACACAAAATCATGGAGAAGGTTCTCTTCCCTTCCTGAAACCCCACCAAGATGTAGCAATCGTTTCTCCCATGGACAGCATGTGAAAAATGAACTTCAGCTGGTGTTGAAGCTGTATTGATTGTTTTCTGCTAGAGAACACTTTGTCACTTGAGAAATCAGAATTATTAAATCGAGAAATCAGCAGCAGAAATACTGATTAATCCTTACAGAACCAAATAAATTAGAGCAGAAGAATGGGAGGTCTGACAAGGCTCATAATACATTCCTGCAATTATAGAATGGTAGTGAGTGATGTATACAGCTTCTCTAGTCCTTCATCAGGAAATATTTTAATATATAATTAATAAAATAATCACTTTTCTATTATGTCCCTCTTGCCTTTTACTCTCCCTGAGATGAACTGAGTGCAATCTCTTAGGTTGTCCATCAACTAATCTCATTCCTCACTTCTAGTCAAGAGTTTTCCAAGTTAACACTTTCCCTTCTCTGCCAACATGTTGAGACAGCACTCCATCCTTACAGATAAGGCCAAGTCCACAGCAAATCTATAGGCTTGTCCCATTTTAAAATGGCTGGATTTTTCTTTGTGGTTTTCTAAACAAGAACTGGAATTTCAGTGGGAACACCTGCATCTCTTTTTACATTTAAAAATTAACTTCCTACAGCACCTCTAAAAAGATGCAGAAGCCTAACTATAACTGTGCCCTCATGAAAATCCTTGGAGTGAGGGTGGGATTTTTCATGACTGCCTATGTGACATTAAAATGAGATTTGTTATCAATGAAAAATCAGTTCTAGAGCTTGCATGTGAGTTCTCACATCAGTCTCCATTCCTTGGACAACTTCAAAGGTAAATTCTGCAGTAGGACAGCTATTTCTTCTAGTGATCCAGTAGTGGAAACAGGCAGGATAACACTGAGTTTGCAGGGTAATTTGTAGTTTTATTGATACAGAAGATTAAAGTTTTACAGAACATCAGGCAAACCAATCCTCTTATTCGCCCAATACTTGAGGATGAACAGTTACAGACAAGAAAATTATCCAGTTACCTGTAGTGCAGCTAATGATTAAATTACATTAAAACTGTTAACAATATTATATTGTAAAATATAAGTTCATATACAGTATATAAATACAAAGGCTTTCTGCTCCCTGTCAGGAACATAAGCTAATCACACATTTTGCAGTTTAATTTAGCTTGTGCTAAAGTACATTTCCATCTTAAATATATACCTTAATGTAAACCATACCTATGAAATCTCTCAGTTTCATTCCCCACCTCTTAACTTGCAACTAATATTACAGCACTTTAAAAGGTGAATGTACACTCTTATTCAGAAGAGGTTTCTGTCAGAATTTCCTCTCTCTTAAATCTTTGGCAATGCTTTACAGGACACTCTCATTAGTCAGACTTAGTTTTTTACCACATGACATTTTAATCTTATCCAAAGCAGGACACTCTGGTTCCTGACTCCTTCTGTCTGAAAGAGCAGGCCATGCAAATGTATGAGTGTTAAAATTATAAAAATCCTACACTGTAGGAGAAAATTGACATTGTGCAAAATACATTAATAAACATTTTAAAGATTCAAAAGATATAACATTGTTAGACTTGGCTACACTGGCCAACTGCATAAAAGCACTACTTCATACCTGGTCAGTCGGTGGCCATTCACTGCTCTGGAAACCTGTGCCTTGACAGGCTGCACTGCAGTCAGAGCAGGAAGATGGGCATGGCTTTGTGTTTGGGCCAGCCTTTCCAAGGTCTGATGGCTAAGATCAGAACCCTCAAACCCATCAAGCTTCTGAACAAGTTATCTGAGTTTCACAAGTCTATGTTACATTCACTGGGTATCAGGGACACCTCTGTAGGCTGTAAGTATCCAGCTCAGCAAATATTCATTGATAGAAGCATGGCAGTATTCACTTGCACCTGACAAAATCACCACCAAACTCTGAACTGGACCAGTCCTTCTGCACCCTGGTAGAAGCACCTTCTCAGAGCTGCTCACCAGGACACAACTGAAGTAGAACAGATATGAATGGACTTCAAAGCCCTTTATTCTCCCAATACACAAGTAGAAAGATGAAAAACCAAGAGGAAAACCAACTTGCATTTAAATCCTCTCAGTCCTACTAAAGATGTTTCTTGCAGAAGTATTTCATGTCAAGTAAAATATGCCACACAGAAATATATTCTATAGGTGTATGGGTCAGGTAAGTAACAGATTCACTATGAAACAGACAGAAACACTGAGATTTAATGTCTTTTAAAACAGCTTAAAGACTAAAAATCCTTCAAGATGAAAAGCTGAAGTTACCTCTTTCTTCTCTGCTAACTACCTGCATTTGCTCTGCTGTGGCACTTCCATAAGAAAGGTTAATCTGTGGTATCACACAGGCAGACTCATCCCTTCCAAGTGCCTGCCAAGTATCTAATTTTGTCCATGCTAAAATCAAAATTAGAGGATTACTCAGAACTATTGCTTGAACAAATACATGCAGTTTAAACTACATGCTGTAACAAATCCCTATCAGAAATGCCCTCATCCACATGGAGATAAAAGTGCACATTACAGTCACCAGCTGGAAGATGACAGTGGAAATATTCTTCAGAGAAAATATAAATATAGATATATTTAGTAGTATATTACTCTAGCACTGTAATGCCAAATGGTAGATTACCAAATGGTAAATTTCTGAGGAATATACTGAAGGCAGGCAAAATATTACATATATTTCTATCTTAATTTGTATGACTACAGTGGAGAGGTTTTGGCATAACATATTTCTTGGGGGAATGTTATGATTAAAAATATTCTGTAGAAAAAATTGTTTCTTCATAACAGGAATGAGTGTGATAAATAGTTATGTTATTGCACAAACTATAGGGTTTTTAGAAAATAAGACCAAAAATAGTGCTTCAACATTTGGAATGAAAGTCATCTATGAAGTGTGAGACAGAAAGTCAAATATGAACCCTGAAAATCAGGATTGTTCATAGGAACTCAGCCAGCAGGCTTGCTAAACAAAACTAACTTCCAGCCAGATACCAACTTATGAACTTACTATTTTTTTTTCCAAAAAAGACAAAAGAAGCAAAAATACGTAAAGAGCATGTTAGATACTACTTAAGGCAGAACATAAAAATGCAAAAATAATTATTATATGTTCCAATAGAAATATAGATATGTAGTCTACAGACTTCAAGCCACAGGCAATAAAAAATACAGCATTTCATACTTTTGTATAGTTGAAATAAAGGATAAAGAAATTGTGTAAAAAATGGGTCAGGGTAACAGTTACCAAAATGTACAAAAATAAACTGCTTATCATGTGTGATGTTGAATGTTTTTGCATGAAAGTAATATTGCTTTGATAAACAAAACAAAATCTTGTAACTTTTCATTCAAAGTCCAGAAGAGATATATAATTACTTTCTAAAAAAATAATGTATTTTCACATGTATATCCTACATCTTACAAACTGTACCTCTTTACACAGTACCAGTAGTTGAAAGCAGGTCCTGAGTCAAGAATTTCTTGTTAAGGATTGAAATAGTTCACAGTGCCTGGTTAATTACTTTAACCCAACCACCAAATCTGTAGCATTTACATCTTCAGGAAAGCTCCCTGTTGCATTAGCAAGAACTGTGGATGCTGGATAAATGATTTCTTCAACCGTTACGTATGTCCCTGTTAAAAATCCAACAAATCCAACCACAGCTATAAAAACATCTTTAAATATTGTCAATAAACTTAGGTTTTCCTTGTAGAAAGTGAGGATTTCAACCAGAGGTGGCAGAATCAGTCCCAGAGTGCTGCTGCTGACGGCTCCGACGAAAGAAATCACCAAGTCTAGGCGAGGGATCAGAACTGCTACAGCACCTAAAGCACAACAGGAGAAATGGTGGCTTCAGATTCAATGTCCTCAGGAGAAACAAAACTGTAACAAACACATCATCAAGTGGTTCAGGCTTTTTACAAAGTTCCATCATTCTGTATTTTTCCAGCTCCTATATAGCACTATATAGTGTGTGTATGTGAACTATAGATTAATGCACATATTTGTCAGTAACCCACATCCTCATGCTCATCTGAGAGACCCAGCTTCAATTCTGAATTTCTGCATGAGCTGGCAGAGCATCAAGTTAAAGTATTCTTGTACTTACAGGGTAAAGAGATTTGGCCTGCAAATCACAGAGAAATGAATGATATGAAATTGCAAGGAAATGTTTTAGTTTTTGGTTGTCGATAGATTTTTAGGATGAAGGAAAAAAAGCTGAGGAAGAGTAGAAGGGGCTGTTGCATGCTGCTCAGGAGACAGGGGGCAAAAATATATTACTGTCTATTAATTTGTATAATTAATAACCTAAAAATCACATAAAATTATTCAAAATGAACAAACCTGTGTGGCTTGGCAGTCACACAGTCATTTAAGTGACTTTTACCTACACACTTGAACAATCTTGGTTTGTACAACTGCTTTCAGTCTGTAAAATGTCACTGTAATAGTTGCCTAGTTAACTAAATGAGAACTTGGCCCTGCAAAGAGGAGTCTGAACACAAGGCCCAGTAATCCTTTTAAGCTTGGCCAGTGTCACCTCCTGAAACTACAACAGTTACAGAAACAGAATCCTTCATGTTGGACCAGAAACACTTCTGGTTTTAACTGCTTTGGCTGGCAAGGTCCCCTAGCATTAACTCAGATATATCAGCTGTGTCATGTTTTCAGTCCTGGATGAGAAAACAGCTTTCAAAAGCCTCTATATGACCCCTGTATGTGGCAGAAATGTCTTTATTCCCTTCCATGAATATACTGCCTTTTAACTATCAGACATTAGTGTAAAGAGCATCAGACTGTTTTCACCCTTCCACCACATCTCATCAAGACAAAGAAGCAATCATAAAGCAAGGGGAAGTGGAAAAGAGGTGTAAATGCCACCAGCATTAATACCATGCATTAACACACACAAAAATACCATGTAATATGTTTTGGTTTTTCCCTAACTCCCTTCTTCACTCTGAAGCCAAAATAAAAGCATGTTTGGTTTTAGAGCAATTTCACTGACCATATGTTATTCAGTGTTTATGGTAATGAACAAATGGAACAGGCAGGAAGGAGATCTCCACAAAATATGTGAGGATGGAAACCAAAAGGTGTGTATTAGCTTTATAATGCATAACCATGAAGTTGTGCTTTCTATTTGTAGAGTGTCTTTGCTGTGGGCTGAATGGCACCAGCTGCATCAATTCTGACACACTGTGATTATGAAAGGCAGCATACTCAAATGATGTTCCTGTTGATGCTCTTCATTGAGGATAACTTTGGGAAAACTGCACTGGAAAATACACTCAAAATTCACTTAAGGAACACAAGAGTTGTCCACTGCTGCCTGGCAACTTTGCTACACATCTTAATGAAACTTGTACCTATAGAGTTCTCACATAAAAAGGAGCTAAGACTAAAATGTACAAAACTGCAGAGGGAGAGTGGATTCACTAGCTCATCCTATTTGAAAGGAACATATCATGCACAGATCTGCCAGGAAAAAAAATCTATTAACTTGTTCCTGCTTGAGATGACACCCTGGCACTCAAAAATAGGTAAGACAGGTTTTTTTATCCCACTGTTAGGATGGACCTACTCAATGCCAAACAGTTTCTTCCGTTACATGATGTGACATTTGAAGACTGGAAATGTCACATGTTTATGCATTATCCAGGACAAAGCTGAATGAAAGGCAAAAGGAATTATGCCAAAGTTAATAAAAGTCACTAAATACCCACCACTGTAACTTCTGCAGCCATAAATGTTCAAGCCACAAGAGTAGGCACCATAAACGTACAAACAATACAAGATGAGCACTCAGACCAGATTGCTATGTGTGATACTTACACAGCCATACAGAGTCCAAAAGTAACTGAAAAGTGCAGCTGAAGTGTATTGCAGTGTCTGGTAAAACTCCCAGCTAATGACTATGTTGAATGTGTTGTTCTAAAGTAAAAGAGAGGGCTGCACACTTTATTATCTTGCCAATTCAATAGATGTAGTGGGTGTATTCATTAAATATAGATTTTCAACTTCTATAATAGACCTCTTTCAGTTCCACATGTGTCCAGAGTTTAGAAGGCACTCATTAATTTATAGTTCATAGTTTTGATTCCAACACTTATTAAAATAATGAGACTATGTTTCATATTTTTTAATTGGAAAAAAATCCAACTCTAGTTTGTAATTGCTTCAAGTTACAGAAAAACAAAATGCAGTGTGTTGATTTGAATCTCATCAAACGTTTGTCTGACTCATACAAATTTGTATGAATCTGGATATTGCTGTGGGAGGAAGTTTAGAAAAGTGTTTCAAGGTTTTAATTAGTGTCTTATTTATTCCCTAACAAGCCAAGAGAAATACAATGCATGTTTATTACCTACCAAAGAATGTATTCAAGAGTTAAGAAAGGGCTCCTTTTTCCAGAAGCAAATAAGGGGCATTCCTACAGTAGGAAGCCTGATTTTCCCAGCCATTTGTAGGTTTCAAAAATACAATGTAAAGAAGAAATTCTGATCCTTCAGCAGCAGTTATGAAACCTTCTGGTTTGGAAGCTCAGCTGAAGAAGTAAGTTCTGTATTAGTAATAAGACACTTTTTTTTGGTCAACAGTTAAATTGTCTTTAGGCTTGAATAACAGAGTGTGGGCCATATGAACAAAACATTCTGCAGACATAACAAAAGGTATAATCATATTGCTTCTAAAACTCTGCAGTCTAATCTCAAAAACTACAACTCATGGTTTCTCCAGCCTCTCTCAGCTATGTAGTTCCACATTTGGGTCAGCTGAGACTTTATAAGGGGAGGAATGCTATAGTGCAATGTTTAGATTCTCTTAAGGGACATAACACCCCAGTGGGATGATACTCTTAATTTTATTATCTTTATTTTGTAGTGCTGCTTCTTTTACAACTTTTTGTTACAGAATCAGTGTATTAGTTGCCAAACTTGCTTCTTGGGAGACAATTCCAGTGAGATTGCTGGGGAGGAACAAAGTTTTGCCATTTCCACCCAACCTAAATGCATTATACCTGCTGATGAAGTCAAATAGGTGATTACCATATTCCAATACTTCCACCAGTAACCAAATATTGAGCTCCCTTACTTATATCAGAAAGTAATGTATATGCCATGCTAAATCTGTAAACAGGATGGGCACAGCTGTAATCAGGATCCATGGATGTAAGTAAAGATTGAATATAACTTTGGTCCTATCCATAGACAGTTCAAAAGCAAAGCATATTATGACTTCATCAGGACACTTTAATCACAGAATTCACTTAAAAAGCCTTTATTCCCATACTTCTAGTAGGACTTAATTAATTTATAAGCATCTTTAGGACCCCAGAAACCAATTTTGAAATTTAAAATGCTAATAATAATAATTTTGACTGTATTTTCCTTTTCCTCAATAATAAAGCTATTTAATACATCTTCACTAAAATTATTAAAAGAAATTATTTTTCTGATAATACCAGATTTTAGATTTTATCTAGGTATTCAAACATAATTCTGACAAAGAAAACCAGGTTAGTGGTATTCAAATGTTGCATCTGAAAAAAAGAAGTAGTACATACATTACCAGATCAGTAGTATGGCACAAAAAAATTGTCCTAACAGTAGGTTTTATAAATAGGCATAAAAAAGACTGGGGGCCTCTTAAGTACAAAAAATGTTGGATATTACTAGGGAGTGGTAAGTTCATACAATTGAAAAGTAAAATAATTGTCTCAAGTGATATACAACCAGTTCTCTTCAAAGGGAAGTGACAGTGCTGGGGAGGCCCCTGTCCTGCAGGAAGCCAGCATACACCAAACTTTCTATTTGTACCACTTTTCCAGGACCAGAGAGCAGACTACAACACTGATGGGTGTCTGACATCCATATGACCTCCAAAAAACACAAAACAAAATTGTATTCTTAGCATACAGATGTCTATGATATGGTAAGGAAAGGATCCCTTCCATGAGTTAAAATTGCCAAGAATTCTGCCTGTAGGTAAAACAGCAATTCAAAATTTCAGCCTGAATGCTCTTTCCTATCTAATATCCCAGGCTGCCCCCTCTGTCCATCTTTCTCTACTGCAGTAGTGCTCAGCCACTCAATCTGGCATCCTTTTCTTCCCTCCCCCTACTGCAGTGTTTCCTGGATCCCCTTCCTTAATGCAGCACCTGCATATTTCCTTCCAACTCCCTCCTCCTTTTCTGCAACATTTCCCTCCACTTTGCCCAAGGTTTTTTTCCTTTATCTTTTGTGAGAATGGAAGAACATTTCTCTGATATGGACTGCCCCAGAAGGCTCAGCCAGTTTGGCTGCAAGGAGCATACACGTGCAGGCTGGACAACTGGCAAGTCAAGATAACATCATCTTCTCAAGTCCTACATCACAATTAAAACTATTCACCTTTTAAAAATAAATGTCAAAGTCTAACAAAATCTAATGTTTCCATGAGAAGTTGCTCATGTAAATTAATAAAAAAGAATGCCTTCCACAGTGGACACCAAACTGTTTTGATACATGTGTACAAAGGAATATGAGATCAAGTAAAAACTGTTATCTATCTGCAGATAAACCAATGCAAATAATAACTTAAGAACATTTGTGAATAATTTACATGTTGATACCTGCAGTTTAAAAAAAGGATTTTAGTTAAAGACTCTGGCACAATTTTACTTTATTTTTTGCTAAAAATGATAATTAACATAGGGTTTTAGGTGGTGTTTGTCTCAGCTGTTGAGACATTAAGACTCTAAGATACATACAGAAGGTAATTTCTTAAAAATATATTTAGATTGTCTTCACAAAAAGTAATTTTCTTAATCCAATTTTCTAAAAGG